GGGGGGGGTCCCTGCTCACCAGAAGCAGTCCTCGGCGTAGTCGGAGGTGTCCTTGTAGACGTAGGACGAGTTCCAGGAGAAGGTCTTGAAGGGCAGGTCCTGGGCCTTCCAGAAGTCCACGAGGAAGTACAGCAGCTTCCGCGCGGGCACCATGAGGCGCGTGAGCGTCTCCTTGTAGTCGCAGGATAGGCCGAAGCTGCCCGCGGACAGCATGGGGTAGCCCAGCTCCGTGTCCAGGCTGTGCGGGGGGAGGGCGGGATCAGGACGGGGGTGCACCCCCAACTCGACCACCCTGCTTCTTCTTGCATGTGGTGCAGGGGGTGACGCCCGGCCCCAGGGTCCCTGGGGGGAGGAGTCCTCTCCTGGTGGGAGACTTTGATTTGTTCTAGAATGATCCATCCTGGGAGAGGCGTTCCCCCCTCCCCCAGGCCTGGGGACAGGCATCTCCAGGCCAGTCCGTGAACTGTCGAAGCCTGTGTTGGGGGACCCTTGCTGTGGTGGCCGGGACTCGGGGTGGGGCATGGGGGGGCTGGGTCCCCCAAACTGGAGAAAGCATGTTCTAGAATATACGTGCATGGCTTTCTCTGGCCTCATAAAGGCATCTGGTGAAGAACTTTGATTTTATTTATTTATTTGTTTGTTTATTTCTTGTTGGTCCTGGGTCTTGAACTCAGGGCCTGGGCGCTGTCCCTCAGCTCTTCAGCTCAAGGCGGGTGCTCTACCACTTGAGCCACAGCGCCACTTCTGGTTTTCTGGTGGGTCCTTGGAGATCAGAGTCTCACGGACTGGGGCTGGGCAGGTGGCTCAGTGGTAGAGTGCTCACCTCGCATGCACGAAGCCCTGGGTTCGATTCCTCAGCACCACAACACAGAAAAAGCCAGAAGTGGAGCTGTGGCTCAAGTGGTAGAGCACCGGCCTTGAGTGAAAGAAGCTCAGGGACAGCGCCCAGGCCCCAAGTTCAAGCCCAGGGACTGACTAAAATGGCTGTCTCCCACTCAGATGACAATTGGTGGACTGTCACTCACTGGTGTCCAGACCAGCGCCCTGACAGACCGATGACAACACACAGGGTCCCCATGTCCCCTCCCTACCCTGCCTAGACTGTAGGTGGCTGCCGGGCACAGAGCCTCGTCCCTTCCCAGTCATCACAGACCGACAATGGTGACCACACCGCAGGACACTTACTACATCTGGAAGGTGGCGTAGGTGCATGAAGGTCCCATCAACACACAGCCCATCTGGTTTCTCCTCTGCGGGAGAAAAAAAAAAACAAGGCCACCCGGAGGCCTCAAGCTCCACAAACCCAACAAACGGGCCGTCCAGGGGTCCGAGGGCAGAGCACGGAGAGCCGGGGCTGGGGCCAGGCCGGGCGGAGGGCTGGGGAGAGCAGGAGGGTGGGGGGGGCGGTGGTGCATGGGTCAGCTCGCCAAGAAGAGGATTCCTCATCCAGGGCCGAGTGGGAAGATAAGAGGAGGGACAGACACTGGGTCCGTAGCACCAAACGGAGGGAAAGAGTGAATTGAAGATGGTGAGGGAGAGGGGGCGGTTCTGATTTGGGGAGAGCCAGGGAGATTGTGGATCTGGTGCTCCAGTGGTTGTCTGGCTCACCCATGACCTGGTTAGAGGAGGGGGCCGGTGGGGGCCGACGATCCATCGGCCCCCCACTCTCATCTGCTCAGACACACAATCAGCTGCTCATCCTGACCTGCCGGCCCACAGGAAATGATGGAGGAAGTTTCCAGAACAAGGCCCTCTCTGCTCCCTGGGACATACCATCTCATCCTGCTCTGGGCTCTAGTGAGGGCTGGGGTTACTGGTCATGGGGGGAAGGGGTATAGGGATGCAGGCAAGAGCCTTCCTCAGTTTACCCTGTCCTATTTCAGGAACAACTTTAAGGTGAGGTTTCAGGTTACTGCTAGGCCGCTCACTTGTGATCTTGCAGGCCCCAAAATACAACTTTGTTTTAATTTTTGGGTGTTGCTACTGGGACTTGAACTCAGGGCCGGAGCGCTGTCCCTGAGCTTTGGTACTCAAGGCTGGCACTCTACCACTTGAGCCACACCTCCTCCACTCCTGGCTCTTTTTGTTTTTTTGGTTCATTGGGGATAAGAGTCTCACAGACTTTCCTTGCCCGGTCTGGCTTTGAACCAGGATCCTCAGATCTCAGCCTCCTGAGTAGCTGGGATGGCCGGTGTGAGCCCCCAGCTCTGAAATCTATCGATCTATCTATCTATCTATCTATCTATCTATCTATCTATCTATCTATCTATCTATATTTTTTTCTTTAAAGATGTCTCCTCCTGGCTTTCCCAAAGGAGGATGCCACAGGCAGCCAGGTTGTTCCTGACATCTTAAAAAAATAAATGAAAATTTAAAGGAACACCTTTCCCCTGGATGCTTCTGGAAGGGGCGTGGCTCCAGGCTGTGTCTCTAAGCGGCTGCAGGGGTGCGGGCTGCGGTCCCGGGCGGGGACGGGTGGAGTTGGGGGGGACAAGGGGGGGGGCTCACCGTGATCTCCCGCAGCAGGTCCAGGCCTTCACAGGTGCTGCTGCGGCAGTCCCCGGAGTTGTGGATGAGGCCGTCCGAATACATGAAGGAAGCATTCACCTTTGCCTGGATTCCTGGGGCCCCCCCAGGAAGGAGGGTGCGGAGGGGAGGAGGGAGTCAGCGTGAGTCCCGCAGGACGGGGGGGGGGGGTTCTGGTGTTCATTGGAGACTCTGATCTCCGAGGAACCACCAAAAAAATAAAAGGTCAGGAGCGGGGCTGTGGTTCAGGTGGTAGAGCGCCAGCTTTGATTAGAAAAAAAAAGGCTCAGGGACAGCGCCCAGGCCCCGAGTTCGAGCCCCAGGACCAGCACCAAAAGAAAACAAAACAAAAACAGATGCAAGAAGCTGAGCAGAAACATCAAAGCGACACACAGGTGGCTGGGAACCATCCCAGACCGTTTGATTTTCCCCTTTCTTCCTGCATTAGACATCTCCTTATAAAAATTGTTATTAAACATACATGTATCTAGACGCTTAAAAGACACCACAGAGCCCTTTGTACTGGAAGATCAGAACACCCCCCAAAAGCATAAAAATAATAAAAGAAGCTAAAATTTGCTGTGTGTTCACCACGTGGGCCGGGCCCCTGTGTGGGGTTCATCCCCCATCACCCCATTTGGGGGGCGTGGGCCTTGCGGTCACCCAGATCTTGGGAAGGACAGGTGAGGCTTCCGAGACCCAGCTTTCGGTGTGGGGGGGATCCCAGGGTTCCCTGAACTCCTTCCCAGAGCCGAGGGAGGGTAACATGAGAATGAACCCCATGAGGGAGCCCCGGCCCCCTGGGGGGAAGCGGGGGGTGGGTGCTGACTCACCGGCTTCGAGCAGCCGCACCCTCACCACGTCCAGGCCGGCGTTCACGGCGTCCTTCAGGTTGTCCAGGGACTCAGGGAAGGCCGAGTTGTTCATCATCAGCACGCTGATCTGGTAGCTGCCATTGTGGCAGTTCCGGCTCAGCTGTGAACCCCAGAATGCCAGGCCTGGCTGGCAGAGCAGCCACAGCCACCAACCCCACAGGGCCGGGCTTAAGAGAGGCCGCTCCATAGCTGGTTCACACCACCACCATGTCCCTGCCTCCTGCCCCAGCGGCCCCCGCCGGCCACCGGCTTGTTGGTGTTTCGTCGATCTAGGAGATCCCTCTGGACAGCCTGTAGTACCCCCCGACCCCGACCTCCACAATCCTTTTGGGCCTGGACCCCACCAGACCCTGCCTGGAGCACCAGCCGGCCCGGCAATCCACAGAAGCAAAGTTCACTCCGGTGTGTTTGTGCAGAGAAAGGTCACAGCCATAAACTGAGAGGCACCCCCCCCCGCCCCGGCCTTGGGCCTCACCCCATAAAAGAACCTCAGGTGGTGACAGGTGAGCTGGGGGGGGGGGAGGAGGGGAGGGAGGAGGGGGGGAGGAGGGGAGGGAAAGGGGAAGTGGCTGTGAGGCCGGGAACACGGAACACGGCCGGGTGCGGCTGCTGTGGTTAAAGGACATAGGGAAGGTACCGACAGGACCGTCTGTCTGTCTGTCTGTCTGTCCATAGGGAGGCTTAGCTGTCAGCCAGGTATCACGCCGGAACTTTCCAGGCAGGAGGAGTTCTCTCTGGAGGCAGCCGACGGATTCACGAGCAAAAAAAACAAACCCCCAAACCTGTACTCCACGGTGGGAAACAAAATTGGAAGGGGTCTGGGCTCATGGTGGTATCCCATGAATGTTCTAGAAGGCCGGGGGAAGCAGACTGAGGAGGATGGGAGGCTCTACTGGGCCTGGGTTGGGCCACTGGGTAGGAAGGCACATGGCCTGTTGGAGATAATCTGGACCAGGGTGAGCACCAGGAGTCCCAGTCGCCATAGAAGATTCCAGAAGAGTAGGCAGGGCTGGGCCCTGGAGTCACCTGCAGGTGATCAGGATGGACGTCTGTCCATCCGTGGAGCAGATGGATTTGGACAAGATGGCTTAGGCTAGTGTGGGACCACACTCGGCTGCTCAGGAGGCTGAGGTCTGAGGATTGCGGTACGAAGCCAGCCCGGGCAGGAAAGTCTGTGAGACTCTGATCTCCAATGAGCCAGCAAAACATAAAATAAAGCCCAAACTCTAGGCATCCACATAGAGACCCAAGGAGGAGCACAAAGGGGCGAGGCCTAAGTAATCCTGGCCCAAATGGATGCCAGGAAATGGAAACCAGAGAGTTTTGTCTTCTACGTTGTCTTTGTTTTTCTTTTTGTCTCATGAGTGGGTTTCTCTGTCTCTGGGAGGGGGGCACAGAAATGGGGGGACAGAGGAGGAAACCAAGGCAGCCGGGGTCCTCACTGGACACCAGGTGGAGAATGAACTCTACCACTGGTGGGTGGGGACGGGAGGGAAAACCTGGGGGAGAGAGCGAGGGAAGGGGGGGCAGGGTCCACAGAGACATGCGCTCATGAGTGAGTGACCTGACTGATGTCACTGTCACCCCTCTGCATGTCACCTTTGTCATCACTATATATATATATATATATATATATATATATATATATATATGCATTTTAAAGCCTAAAGTGGAGCTGTGGTTCAAGTGGTAGAGCACCCACCTTGGGTGAGAAAAGCTTAGAGACGGCCCAGGTGCGCACACACACACACACACACACATGCACGCGCACGTGTACACCTGCACACACACAGGGGCTTGGTATTCAACTGGTCTGGGGGCTCGGGCGGGATTAAGATTCCCTGATCTGGGGCTGGGAAGGTGGCTCAGTGGTAGAGCGCTTGCCTTGCATGCCAGAGGCCCTGGGTTCAATTCCTCAGCACCACAGAAGCAGAAAGAAAAACAAAAAGCCGGAAGTGGTGCTGTGGCTCAAGTGGTAGAGTGCCAGCCTTGAGCTGAAGAGCTGAGGGACAGCGCCCAGGCCCAGAGTTCAGGCACCATGACCGGCCCCCCCCCCAAAAAAAAACGATTCCCTGATCTGCCCAGCTAGGTGGCTGGCAGAACTGTCCGCTGAGTTCGAGAACTCCGGGAGCGGGGAGGGGGAGGAGATGGCAGCTCGGAGCAGCACCGGTGGTTCCCGGGTCCCCTGGCAAGGATTTGGAGAGGGACAGAAGAAGGGTGCTGGAGGAGAGGTGCCCCAGGTGGGGAGGGGCGCAGCTGTGTGGCGTCACGGGGCAGGTGGGCCGTGCGTGGGGGCTGAGCACTGGCCAGGCCGGGCCTCTCCACAGACGGGGTTAGCGGAGGGGGACGGGAAGGTGGTCTTGGACCGTCTTGAGGCTGGCCATTAGGTGTGAGGCCTCCCACGGGGGGCGGCCAAGCTCTGACCCAAGCAGGGACGGATGGCACCCGCCCTGCCTCAGGGCAGCAGGGAGGAAGTGCTGCGCTGGGTTGCATCTGTGAATCTGAATTTCCTCCGGAAAAGAATGACCTCATTTCCCTGGGGTGCAGGGGGCTGATGAGGCAGAGAGACAAAGTGTCCAGTGCTTTGGACTCAAATACAAAGAAAAAGGAATATAAATAATATACATTACCGGGCTGGGAAGGTGGCTCAGTGGTAGAGTGCTTGCCTTGCATGCATGAGGCCCTGGGTTCGATTCCTCAGCACCACATAAGCAAAAAAAAAGCTGGAAGTGGCGCTGTGGCTCAAGTGGTAGAGCGCTAGCCTTGAGCTGAAGAGCTGAGGGACAGCGCCCAGGCCCAGAGTTCAGACCCCACAACCAGACCCCCCCCCAAAAAATAATATATATTACCATCTTAATACCTATATTAAAAAATATCTAAGCTGGACGCCAATGGCTCATCCCAGCTGCTCAGGAAGCTGAGATCTGAGGATCGTGATTCAAAACCAACCCCAGGCAGGAAAGTCCGTGAGATTCTTATCACCAATAAATGGAAGTGGCGCTGTGGCTCAAGTGGTAGAACTCCAGCCTTGAGTGAAAGAGCTCAGGGACAGCGCCCAGGCCCTGAGTTCAAACCCGGTGACCAACAACAACAAAAAGCAACAAAAAACAAGTGACCAACAACAATAACAAAAAGCAACCATAAAAACAAAAGAAAACAAAAAAAAAACCCTATCATCTATCTTCTTCCTTCCTTCCTTCCTCTCTCTCTCTTTCTTTCTTTCATCAGTCTGTCTTTTGTGCCAGTTCTGGGCTCTCCTCTCTCTGTTTTTTTTGTTGCTCATGGGACTTGAACTCAGGGCCTGGGCGCTGTCCCTGAGCACTTTCACTCAAGGCTGGTGCTCTACCACTTGAGCCACAGCACCACTTCTGTTTTTCCAGTGGTTCTTTGGAGATCAGAGTCTCACGGACTTTCCTGCCCAGGCTGGCTTTGAACCATGATCCTCAGACCTCAGCCTCCTGAGTAGCTGGGATGACAGGCAGGAGCCACCATGCCCAGCTTCTCTGCCTTTTTAATTGAGCACCTGCTGGGAAGTGAACATTGAACCGTTTCCCTTAGAGACATTTTCTTGTTTGATCTTCCCAACTGTAGCTCAGAAGATTTTTTTTTCTTAATGATCCTATATCTTTGTTTTATAGAGGAAGGAAACTCTTTTGGTAGAAGATCCCACGCATTGCATGTGGGCAGCCCGCCTTTGGAGTTCTGGATTATTCTAAAGCTCCGCCGCCTTCCAGTCAAACTGGATGACTGAGTCTGGGGGCTGGAGCTGGTGTGGAGAGCCGGGGGGAGATGACCTGAAATGAAAATGAGTTCACAGAGGGACAGGAGGAAGTGTGGGAGGGAATAAAAAACTATGGGCCATAAATACATAAACGAGCTATAAAAAGAGCAGACACACAGCCAGCCGGACCGGGAGGAGAAAACCCTCTGTTCCACCGCCAAATAAAAAACTTGGGGTTCTGAATTGGTAAGGACATGATTATGTGCCACACAAAGTGTCTTTTAGTTCGCTTTTATGAAAGCAAAAAATAGATTTAAACAAACAAGTGGGCCCGGTGCTGGTGGCTCCTGCCTGTCATCCCAGCCACTCAGGAGGCTGAGATCCGAGGATCGCGGTTCAAAGCCAGCCAGGGCAGGAAAGTCTGTGAGACTCTGATCTCCCATGAACCACCAGAAAACCAGAAGTGGCGCTGTGGTTTAAGTGGTAGAGCTCCAGCCTTGAGCGAAAGAGCTCAGGGACAGCGCCCAGGCCCTGAGTTCAAGTCCCAGGACAAACAACAACAAGAAGACAAAAGAAAAAGCCGGAAGGTCCATTTGGGGCCTGGCCTTGGTGTTTCCGGCCTGGCTGTTTACTGCTCTTAGCCATTTCCTCTCCTGCCTGATTCCACTCCTCCGTCCTATCTATATCTGGAAGCTTCTGCAGCCCTGGTCCTCGGAGGAAAAGTGGGGGGGGGCATCGGGCCCCACTGCTGCAGGCCGGGGTGGGGGGCCCCCTCCTCCTACCCCTGGAAGGCAGAAATTGCAGGGCTGAGGCGGGAGAAGGTTCTGGTGGCCTGGGTACTTCTGCAAGTGCTGGTTCTTGGGATGGCTGGAGGCTGGGCTCAATCCGACTTCTCCTGGCCCACCCTGGGGCCCTGGGTCACCCCGACTTCTGGCCCACCCTGGGGTCACCCCGACTTCTGGTTCACCCTGGGGCCTGGGGTCACCCCGACTTCTCCTGGCCCACCCCGGGGTCCGGGGTCACCCCGACTTCTCCTGGCCCACCCCGGGGTCGGGGGTCACCCCGACTTCTC